AGAAAGAGAGAGAGAGAGAGAGAGAGAGAGAGAGAGAGTCAGACAGACAGACAGCCACCCACGTACAAGTCCATGGTTTTGACTTAGACATGACTTGACCTTCGCCACATCTGGGAGCGTGACAGCTGTTGAAATTGTCGAAAACGGCCACAAATTGTTGATGAGAAAAGGGGTTGCGTTGTCCCCAACAGGTGGGCATCTTACACGGTGTCACTGTATTGAAAAAAAAAAAGCGCAAGGAAGGAAATGAGAAGTGGCCATTTGTACAAGGGATTGCTTCATACAGGTGGAAATGGGAGCAGTCTCGACTGATCAGCATAGACTGTCTATGTACCGACTGTGACGCCATGAGTAGTCTAGTGGTCAGGTTGCGGGTTCGGGGGTTCTAGTTCGAATCTCATGCTCGGCGTTGTGTCCTTGGGAAAAGCACTTCACCCAGGTGTGAATGTATATCCGGCCATTGAGAGAAAACGATCTTGTCAATATGTTATACCCAAAGAAAGTTTTGGATTGGAACCCACAGGGTAAAAGATCAAGGGGAAGACTGCGTGGAACCGGGAGAAGAATCACCGAAATCGATGTACAGAAAAGTGGGAAGACATGGAACAACATCAAGAGGCTAGCCCAGGATAGAGAAATGTGGAAGGTGTTTGTCCGTGGCCCATACCCTGGTGCAGGGTGAGAAAGGCAATGGTGATGATGAGTATGTTATATCGGGTGCCCATTGTGGATGAGATCGGGTTGGGTCGATCGCCCGACTTGCATCCTCAAAAAATAAAATCTGGCTAGCAAACCAACCTGACCCGACCCGATCGCTCAATGGACACTCCGTATTAGTTGTTTTTTTTTCGTCTATAGCAGTGGAAGTCTGCACTTCATGCTTCCCAGGAAGTTATAGCAAGAATGATCGATGAACACACGGAACTTACTGTTTCTGTCGATCATCTGGAAAATTTTCTTCGGCAACAGCCTAAGCCAGACAGGAAAATTCTGAATCCCCATACAGCCTGGCAGGATGTTGGACCATAACTCTAGCCAGTCGGTCACTGTTACCTGACCCTCTGGGGGAGAGAGATGGATGGATGGATGGATGGATGGATGGATGGATGGATGGATAGATGGATGGATGGATGGATGGATGAGTTAGTGGTTGGTTGGATGAATGACATATATTAATATCATTATCATCATTCATATTATTATTATTATCATCGGTGATGATTATTTATACCGTATTATTATT